TAAAGATGAGGACAACAGTCCGACCAATGTAAAAATTACAATACCTCATCTTAGAAATATAGATCCTGAAGAAATCCGGAAGGTACAACGGCCGAAACGGCGTGAATATGGCAAGATAAGGGCAACAGTCCAAACAGTGTAAATAGTTACAATACCTCATGTCAGAAATATAGACCGATCCTGAAGAAGGTCAGAGTGTAAAACGGCTGAAACGTCGTGGATATGACAATAAAGATGAGGACAACAGTCCGAACAATGTAAATAGTGTAAATAATTACAATACATCTCAGAAATATAGACAGAGCCTGAAGAAAGCCGAAGCGTATAACAGCCGAAAAGTCGTCAATAAAGATGAGTCCGAACAATGTAAATTATGTAAATAATTTCTACTACAAATTCATATTAAGAAAGCGTCTACAACAAAAGTTCCCAAATTATGCTGTGGCGTCTTGGAGCGCTACAGTTAGCTCCCTGGGGCATCAAGAGTCATAATCCGACTTAATTTTACAGGGGAATCCAATGACATGACCTTAAAGTGGGCGATCGATTTACAATGAAGATTTAGCGTAAAACTAAATATTTATTTTTGTCTCTCTTTTCGACGCCCAGTGTTTAATTTACAATGTAAACATCAACTGAACGAGATGCTTACATCGTAAAATCCATCAACTAGTATACTCGTCCCCATTGTGAAATTTACTTATTCTCAGCAACAAAACATTTCTAGGAAAAACAAAGTTTAACCTTAGATAAAACCGTTCAAAATATACTGGAAAATATTCTTTCATAATTTTTTCATTTACGTTTCACTGAACCTGGACTGTTGTTGTTATTGTTGTCGTCGTTGTTGTCGTTGTTCTTGTTGTTCCTTCGTTTCTTATTTCGTACGTTACGCCCCGTCAATAACCTCATAAATAATGGAGTGAATTCCAACGTCAATATTTAGATGGTTCTACATAGATTTATTCAACCACATTATGTGCCGTTTTGTTCCATTAACTTTCACTATATTTGAAACAGTTTCACGATTCCATCCACCCAGAACTTGGCATGTTTCTGGGTCACGAAATTGCCTAAATGGTTGTTAGAGGCTTGTAGAGTGTAGGTGAATAGGTTGTTTTTATTATACACGTCGGCGGTCACCATAATGTTGTGTGGGCTTACTCACATCATAGCAGCAGGAATTAACCGGGTGTTCACGAAGATAAAATCATACGTGACAGAAAATAAAACGTACACATGTAAGAGGAAATGCATGGTAAATTGTACGTTAATTTTATACAATTTATTTATATTTTTGTGTGTATTGGTATGTGTATTTTTTAGGTTACAATTATTTTATTCGACATGTGATAAAGGGGAGAATTTACTCAGTAGTATTACAAGTCATATCACAGGTTCGTGGTGAAGAGATTGAATTTAACGTCATTTGGCGGAATGTCCGTATTTTCGACAGGAACAGTTATTGTTGCATGCCGGGAGTATTTTTATTATTTTTATTTTTTTACTTTATTATATTTATTTTATACAACATTTTTATGTTATTGTTTTTAATTTATTTATAATTTTCATAATTATAATTTTATATTTTATTTTTATTTATAATAATAATAATAATAATATCCCTACAAGTGAAATGGATTTCTTCCTATTATGATAATGCTGAGAATCTTGTCTTGTAGAAGAATGTTGAGAATACCAGAGACTGAAAATGTAATTAATGAGGAAGTTTTAAGCAAAATAGAAACAGGAAGGATTTATTCTTAAAATCAGAAAGAGATCTGAAATTTCTAAGGCACATAATTAAGAAAAAGTGCATGGAGAATTTAACACTCACAGGACAAAGTAGGAGGAATATAAGAAAGCAGTGAATAACCTACCTAACGTGGTTGTGTAAATGTATGACAGAACAGAAACTAGCAAGAACATTAAAAAGCTAAATTTACTAAGAGCTACAAAGGATAGAAAGTTGTGGAGGGCATGTGATTTTTTTAACTGTTTATCAACCCTTAGCAGGTTATTTAAATCCAGAAAATATTTATGATTCTAAGAATTTTTTTGAGATAATAATTGTTTAGCGATACAGTTCTTACTAATTAACCCATAGCTGGGGAGAACAAGCGGCAGATTCATATCTTTCCCAAGGGTATTTGCTCGTAAGTGAATATGACGAACCTAACGGAAATTGGAACTCAGCACTCAGATTAACAATACCGAGCAGTTATCCATTTTATCACCGGCACATCCAAGTTTACAGCACCTGGTATTCCCAAGCCCACCCATCTAGGTAGTGACCAGACTCGACGTTGCTTAACATCAGTGATCGCACGATAACCGGTGTTTCAACGTGATATGGCCGTAAGCCCTTTATGCCACCCGTACATCCAAGCTTACGGCACCTGGTATTCGTAAGCGGTCACCCATCTAGATACTGACCAGGCTCGACGTTGCTTAACTTCGGTGATCGTATAAGAATCGGTTTTTCAACCTAATGTGACTGTAAGCCTTTGGAGGACAATGATCGCCTACGTCCTGTCGGGACACGGCACATAAAAGAAGATATTTTGTTTATGGGATGCAATGTTCCTCCTGTTTTTAATTGCAACAAATTTACATTTGGGTGGCTAAAATTGTAGTATTTTATTTCCCTTCGGGTAGGTGAAAGAATAGCAGAATGGAAACGTGAAGTAAACATGGAAAGACAAACATTGCTTTATACGACAAGGTGCTTGTTTTTTTGGCACTACAGTTTTCAGACAAGGCTCCAAGCGAAGCTTTTAGGGCAAAGGAAGCAGAAACAGGGAAACGCAGGACAAAACGAACCAGACGAAAAGGGTAAGCTATGCTGTGGAAAATAACTTGAAAAAATGGCGACGAAGGAAAGCGCTGGGAGTGACAGAGAAGGAGAAAGACAAAGTTTTTTTTACAGTGATATTCACTCTGATCAAGGCCCGGAACCACTCAAGGTAGACGGTTACATAGTAAGAGTTTATGTAGATATATGGGGAAGCTAATCCTAGACATGAACAGGTTAAGATTGTGATCGGAGAAGCATCCTCTTGGGAGTTGGTCCCACAATGCAGTGGTTCGTAGGAAGAAGCTGCTGGAGTGGAACATATGTCTCAATACGAAGGGAATGAGGGTGGTTCGCTATAATGGGAGTGGCATGGCGAGTCTTAGTCGTGAAGGTTAGAATTGGTGGAATTAAGGAATGTAATTCGCCTGAGATTTCTCCATGGAAATAGCGATGACGCAGGGAGAGGCCACTGAGTCAATGTTAAAGAAAAAATTATGAGAAATGGAAGGAAAAAATGAACCAAAAGAAAAGAACAGGAACTTTTAGATGAAAAAAAAAAAAAAAAAAAAAAAAAAAAAAAAAAAAAAAAAAAAAAAAAAAGAAAAAAAAAAGAGAGAAAAAAATAAGAGGCAACAAAAGTAAAGAATGGAAGAAAACAGGAAAAGAAATGTAAAAAAAATATAAAATAAAGTAGAAAAACGAAGAAAAAAATGAAAAATAGAACGGAAGAAAAGAAAGAGAAAAAAGATAAATCAAAGAGTAAATTTAGAAAAAAAGAAACAAAAGGGAAATAAAGAAAGACAATAAAAAGAAAAGAAAAAAAGTAAGGAAAGAATATAAGTAAAAAAGAGAAAGAAAGACTAGTGGTGTAATAAATAAAATTGGATAAGCAGAAAAGCAAATCAAAAGTAAGGAGAAGAAAAACGAAAGAAAGCAAAAAAAAAAAAAATGCAAAATTAATAAAAAAATTAATGAAAATATGACGAAAGAACAAACGGACAAACGAATATAAGAAAGAAAGAATGAAAAAGAAAGAAAGAAAGAAAGAAAGAAAGAAAGAAAGAAAAAGTGAGATAAAACGAAATAGAAGAAAGAAAGGCGGAAATACGTAATGAAAGAAAGAAAGAAAGAAAGAAAGAAAGACTGACTCATAGCGAAATAAAGAAGAAAAATACAAATAGAAAAAAGAGAAAGAGAGAAAGAATTACTAATAGTGAAATAAAGAAGAAAGAGACAAATAGAAAACAAGAGAAAGAAAGAAACAAATGAGAGAAAAAAGAAAGAAAGAAAGAAGAAAGAAAAACAAAAAGAAAATAAACTTACTAAAGCAAAGATAAATGAAAATTTAATGAAAAGAAAAAATGCAAAAAGGAAAGTAAGAAATATTGAAAGCAAGGATGAATAAAAATACGAAAGAAGACTTAAAAGAAAGAAAGAAAGGAAGAAAGAAAGACAAATTAATCAATAAAGACAGAAAGAACGAACGAAAGAAAGACAATTAACAATGAAAGAAAATAAGAAAGAAGAAAGAAAGACAACATGGAAAGAAACTACCCGAATCAAAGATGATTGAAAAGTTAACGAAAGAAAAAAAAAGAATGAAAAAAATAAATAGAAAGAAAGAATGTAAAAAGTAAGATAAAAATAGAAAAACAAGTATGAATAAAAATACGAAAGAAAGAAAAAAGAAATAAAAAAAGAAATAAAAGAATGTAATCAAAGAGAAGGGGATATAAAAAGAAATAAAGGAACACAGAGAAGTGATAGATCAGGTTTTACAAAAGAATCCAGTCGCCTTATACTCAATGACAAAAATATTTACAAGAGATTTGGGTTGGCTTTTTAAAGAACTGTGTTTTTATAGAGCTTAGGAGTCTAAGAATAGACTATGTGCTCTACTAACAAAACGTCATGCACATGAATTTCGCTCAGTGAAAGTGGAAAGGAGTAAAGAATTAGATGCCTAACAATTCATTCGTAATGTTAGACTGGTGAGGTTTCACGTAAGAAGGAATATCCACTTTTCGAAACGTTTCAGGCATATACAGGATGTATCATGTGTTTGAAAACATACCTTTAGCGAGCCATAAATAGATGACCTGATGTAATGTTACGTGGCGTGCAAGAAAATGTAACATTCTCAATTTCTCTTTTTGATGTATTGAGAGTGTTAAAAAAAGAGAGAAGAGAGAAGAGAGAGAGAGAGAGAGAGAGAGAGAGAGAGAGCAGCTTCTAATCCTGTCGAAGGAAATGGCGCGGGCCGTTAACCACAGTGACTGAGAAAGAATCAAACTTTTTGTAAGTGGCCATGGTCAGAAAGAAACTTTTGTCGCTCTTCTTGTGGGAACGGCCCATTCGCAGACAAGAGAAGGAAACATTCTAAGCAGCCAGGCGTCGTAACAATTGCTGACTTCGTCTAGCAAGTTCGGGTTATCATCATTATCGGGATCAACAGGTCATTGAGGGCCATCGTTGAGCAGCTCAAGGCGACCGACTTCGCTATCCGAGTCACGGCACACGAAAACATCAGAATCAATTCCTACGTGAAGATGTTTATGAGCAACAAGACCAGCAAGAGCCAACCAAACAAGTTGAAGAACCCCGAAGAGTCCGTAAAGTTCTGTTCCTTATTCGATGAGAAAGACGAGATCCAGAATATACACAGAAAGTGAGGGATCAATTTTATATTGTTATAAAGTAATAAATCGAACCCCCCACTCTTGCTACATCTTATTATAAGAAAGAGATGGTATATATGCTGCCATGTTTTATGGTATATGTAAACTGGTATTATTATGATTCTACTGGTCATAAATTGGGGGATTGGTTATCTCTTGGTATTAAGTAATAAACAGATCCCCCAGAATTACTAAATATTAATATAATAATTAAAAAATATGTTTCAAGTCATATCTAAAACATTTCATTAATATTAAGCAATTAGCAAAATATTTCGTCATTTTTGACAGCATAAATTAGTTGTTAATATAAGATTCTACTGGTTAAAAATTGGGGGATCAATTTTCTGTTGGTATTAAGTAATAAATAGATCCCCCACCAAGAATGACTACGTATTAATGAAAACGACTGAAAACCTTGAATAGGACTTAACGAAATATGCCGTCATATTCATGGTATAGGTAAACTAGTATCAATATAAGATTCTACTGGACATAAAGTGAGGGATCAAATTTCTATTGTTATTAAATAATAAATTGATCCTAACATAATTACTACATATTTCTATAATAATTGGAAATATATATATTTAAAGACTCACGCGTGAAACGAAATCTTGCTAAGTACTTAACAAAACATACTCTCATTTTTACGAGTATGGGTAACTAGTATTAATAGAAGATTATACTGGTCATAAATTGGGGGATTGTTTTTATTGTTATTAAGTAATAAACTGACCACCCATAGAATTACTACATACTAGTATAATAATTTTTTAATCCTTACACTCCAAGGTAATAGAGCCACTAAGGTACAATGGGTTACTGATGTGAAGGAATATGAAAAAAGAAAAAAGCATTATTAAGGAGCAGGAACAATAAAATAATAGGAATCAGGAAGCTAGTAAATAATGATTGACAATGCAATTGGCAGTGCAAGAGAAGAAACTGTTAGCATAGAACTTACGGTTACACTTCAACTGTAAAATTAGAACTTATTCAAAGATTCATATTCGAAAAACTAATAATAGTGAGGACTTAAAAGAGTTGGAACTTATGTAAACTAGTGAATTTATATTCCTACGACTGTTTACATGTTATGTATTTCATATCGCATTGATATGTGTATAACCAGAGAAAGAATTATTTTCTTTCTGGTATGTTCGTATATAAGGTCTATCACCAGTCGGAAAATGAAAGCTGATATCTCTGACTTTCGTGAAGATATTATATAAAATAGTGACTTCAGTTTAGCCTAGTTTTAATCGAGGAGCTATTTTACATGTATAAGCAGGAGACATTTTTCCTCAATCCGTATATATAACAAATACGCAGAACTTAACGTTTCTTTATATAAAGAATAGCGGAGGTAATGGACTGTGGAATTTGAAACTTCTTACGAGAAAGTCATAAACATTAAACTAATCTCTGTTTCATACATACCTTCATGACACTTCCACTAATTTGAAAATTATTTTAGGATCGGTATGGCTGTGAATGTTGGACAATTACCTCACAGACGAAAAGGAAAATTGCAGTAACAGAGACGTGGTTCTATAGAAGGACACTGAAAATGCCATAGCTTGAGAAATTGAGCTTTAAGGATAATAGAAGCAAAAGGGACTCTTACAGGGTGCGATGAGTAAATTGTCGCTATTTTATATTTTTAATTTCGCACATGCGCGTTGTTTGTTTTTAATTTTATCGACCGCACAGCATAGTAGGATCAGTTGGTCACCGTCTGCGAGAAAAAGAGCACCATGACGCAATTCATTCCACCAGAAATTTGGAATCGGCAGCCATACTTCTTGGCATTCGCGCTGTTATGCCTCAATTCATGTTTCCACAAGGCCTCAGAATCACCACAAATGCCTTGAGGAGGTAGTGTTGTTCTGGATCAAGAGGGTGGCTGCTGGAATACCCTATGTCTGGCAACAGGACTCTGCACCATGCCAAACAAGCAGGGGAACACAGTCATGGCAGTCTGACAATTTCTGTGACCACATCACCCCTTAAATTTGGCCA